GTTGTCACTCTGTTAGTCTTGTTGAACAGACGGCAGCCAAGTTTTATTTTAGCCGTTATGAGATAAAGTCAGCTAACCCTTCTCGAAGCCCCGCTCCTTTGTGGTGGTCCATCAAGCTGTCAGAGCTTGCATGGAGCCCACACTGTAACTAACTGCACTACATTATTAAATCACTGGAAAAACGAAAAAAACATTTTCAAAGAGAAGCAGACAGAGGGGTCTACGATATGTGTTTGAAGGATATAACCATGATGTCAAACTGACTCATCAGCAAAAACATGTTGAAAGGATTAGGATAGTTTGAAGCTAAAGCCGAACTACAGGCTACAGATGACAGTGTTAAAGTGAACCGTCACATCACTGGCGATTGAGACAGAAGACAATGAACACAAAGAGAAACCATTCAACCAGGTGTGTGTCATTGCAGTGTGTGCAGATGAACGGTGTTTGGCTTCCCCCTGTGCTGCCAGCTGATAGACCTCTGCTGGCAGATGGTCAGGGAGATCCAGGGGAAGCCAAACAACGTTTATCTGCAAACACTGCGATGACACATAGTTGGTTGAATATGGGCAAAGTTTCCCTGCTTCCTTTTACTGGTTCCTGTAGCGCATGGTAGACCTTTATTCAGTGTTATAATCACTAAAAAGCAAAAGTAACATGGCTATACCTTCAGTAGCTAGCTAGCTAACCCTAAACATTTCAGGGCTAGTTTTGGTTTTGGAATCTCTCCCAGTAACAAGTGTCATTATTACCCATGCCCCAGGCACAATGTTTAGCTCGAAATCCACAAAACCAGCCTGAAGATGAAGGAGATCTGAAACGATTGCATTACAGTCTTTGGAGCACAGCCGTGTTGTTATCGGATCCTTGTCGGAGCTGGCTGATGCAACGCTATGATTGGCCAGTCTGCATTCAAGGGGGCTCACAGGACTTCGCAAAGGGTCAGTTAGCTACAGCTGATATACTTGGCCACTGATAATGTCGCTTCACCAGAAGCGATTGTCAGCACTGGCAAAAAATGAGAAGACTGCTTCTAGGATTGTAGATTTTTTTTCAGTCAAACCAATGTGGCTGTTCAAAACAACTATTTGACTGTTCATTAATTTTTTCTATATATCGCCAGCAAGCGGACACTAGATATCAATCAAAAGCCAGATAACATTATTTCAGAGCCTGACCAAGCAAAGTCTCTCTTCCTACGTGCAGCTGCCTCTGCCTCACTCAGACTTACCCTGGGTCAGGTCTGCAGCTGCCTGTACTCTTCGCAGACATCCTTACAGAGCGCAAGGAACAACTTTACATAGGGTAACGATTTTATCCCGGAGGGCGGAGTGAAAGCAAAGAGCGTTGACTTTGCAGTTACCTCTTGGGGCTGAAATGTCCCTAGAAGTACACAGCACAGTGACTGACAAAAAAAAACGAAAGAAAAGAAAAAAAACTGCTCGAGCTCAAGAACCTAAGTCAGCTGAGAGAACTCCGGCTGATGATTTTAATCTTTGACTTTTAGGGGGCAGCCCTACCTGCTGATGTAACCAGAATGCCTTCTTTTTGCTAATAAGAGAGAGCCTGAAGAGATTGGGAAAAAAAAAAAAAAAAAAGAATTAGATGTTTGTTAGCCCACAGCTAAAACAGTTGAAATCTAGATCTAAAATAGAACCGACTCTGAACCCAACCTAAGCATTATTTGACCTGACTGTTCGACCCTGATCAGGGTCAGGCATGGATCAGCAGGACAAACGTTTGTACCTGTGATGGTCTGTAATGCAATTGAAATTTGAATGGCATTCGTGTAACAAACCACTCAAGAGACAGCATGTAAGAGTGGACGGAAACTGAAACATGTTTTCATTGGGTACTGAATGTAGTTCTGTGCAGGTGTGTGTAATGCGGTGGTTTAAACAGTACTGTGTATGGAACTACAGCTGCAGCCTTGAGTGTGTGAGAGATGATGAGCAGGGATTAACTTCTGACAACAGTCTTGTATGAATGGGTCAAATGTGGCTGTTCAGCATGTTCAGTGGAGCTTGCCATACACAGCTTTCCTGTATGACAGTGGTATAGGATGACTGTTGTATCATAATACCCTTTGCACTGTACAAAAGACAGAGGGGGTTTAGCTTTGAGGCTGGGATAGTGTTAGGTCAATGATTCCTACATCCAACATCATAGACTAAATAGTTTAAAGTTAGGGTGGATGCAGGTTGACTCTAGACACTGGGGTTTTTATTAGGGATGTACCCGGATCCAATAAAATATATCGCCATATATTGTAATTTATTACCTGTTTTCAACTGCAAATAATGTCCCCAAAGAGAAACTCTTCTGTTTTATCTAATAAGAGAAAGATTTTTTAGTCTCACTTCAGTCTTATTCAAGTAGGCTACCTAAATTTGTATTTGTAATTTTAACAATTTATACAATTAAAAAAAAAGATATTTGGCTCTGTGTGACGATACAATATTGCCACACAAAAATATTGCGATACTATGCAGTATCGTTTTTTGTTAACCAAATTGGGCTGGACAGGCTGCGGCCCAAGCTTCACGGCCAGCACACAGTCTGCAGTGATAGTTTCTATTGGTTTTCTATCCAAATATAGACACAGATATTGACTTTTCTGAACACCTCTAGTTTCCATACTATAATAATGTTAAGGCTACAAGAGCAAGTTGGTAAAGGTAATGGAAAGGTGGTGGCTTTACTTTACAATCAGTCTTCCCTGAACCTTGAAATGCTTTGACTTACACTGTGTCTTTACAGGAGGTATAGCATTAGCAGCAAGTTAGCAGAGCAACAGCAGCTTCAGTGCACCATCCTTGTCTACACAGGATGTATTCAGGCACAGGAATGAGTGTAGGTCACCTGTGTTTTGGCAAAGGGGTGTATACATGTTCTGAACGGCCACACTGGAGGGCAAGGTGACAGGCTTGGTGTCATAGAGAGGAATGTGACATGATTATCATACAAATGGGGATGAAGGTGCTTAGCAGTTTTTCCTCATAAGCACTGATGGTGTTGTTCACATGAAAGTGACAGAGCTAGTTGTGGAAGAGTATTTAAAAGCAGAGACTGAGACCTAATCAGCTACTGACAGTAAAAAAAACTGGACTTTGCATATTCTCACTGCAGAGATCAGTGCAGATAGCTGGTTCCATTTTGTATCCGGATACAAGTTTCCTTTTCAAATCATTCATTCACAATAGGAGTGTATTATATATCAATTAAACTCGATGTATCCTGGGTTGTTCCACATGGGATGTATAAAATGACTATATTCATGCCACCTGCATGAGACTCGCCTTGGCACCTCATCACTCAAGCTCTTTCCTGTGGCTTTCTCCCTTTCACAGACACAAAAAGACTCACAAACATGATATGTTCTGCCCATCCAGACCATATTCTCCTGGAGGATACTATATGAGCAGGAGAGACAGTCGTATTTAGTCGTATTTTGTGACCATGGAGCACCGTTGCAACTTGCATATATTATTAATATATCAACTGGAGAGCTGTTAGGTTGTTTCTTGCTCACAGAGAATGAATCCTCACATTTCGCAACACCATCGGAATAGTTTAACTTTCTGCTAACATCTAACTGCTGACTGGAAGCTCAAAGTTTAAAGCTAAAACATCCTGCCCGAGCCAAGTCAGGTGCTTCAAAATAAAAGTACTGGTGGTACTGCTTTGATTTCTTTTTTTATTAGAACAATACTACATTTATTTTATTAAAACAGTACTTTATACCAGTGCTTAACTTTATTATAAAAGTATTTTACTAAAATTTATTGTAACACTATTTGTGCTTAATTTAACTTTTATTATAAGAGTACTTTATTGAACTTTATATTGAAGTACTTTTTTAACTTTAGTATAACAGTACTTTATTATGATAATACTTTATTTTACTTCATTAAAACAGTACCTTATTACAACAGTACCTAACTTAAATTTATTCTAACATCAGTTTAAGTTTAGTGTTTAGGTAGTCAGCAGTAGTTGAGAGAAAATGCCAAAATCTATATAGCCTAAAAATATCTCAATATTATCTATAGCCCATATAGCCCAGCCCTAATGCACAACTTTCCTCAGATTGTCCCATTTTTTGTCTTTTTCTGTGACTACATGCATCTGCAAAGAAAGAAACTGGTGATGTATACAAATGCAGTAACTCAGGGACACAGTTGTTGACAAGACTGACTGAGTGAACATGGCATACTGCCTTAACTTAAATGTTCCAAACTGTAGCTATACTTCACCAAAATGAATCAATCTGCCAAATGCAAAATGTGCAGGGGATACTGACGACATAAAGGATATTTACATATTTATCTACCGTCAAAGTTAAACGAAGAAATAGTTATTTTTGATAACTTGAGAAGAATGATTGCTCGGCTCCAGCCTACTACTGGTGTTACACTGTATTCTGTGACCCATCAGATTCTGTGACCTGTAGCAGTGCTACTACCATTTCACCTTCTGATAACATTAAGTGTGTCGTCAACGCAGAAAAATCTGTGATCTATCGCATTGATATTTTTTACTATTATTTCCACTGTATTGTTTTTACCCCAGCCTCTGCAGCTGTAGCACGGTGCAGAGCAAACACTGTTTTCTTCACAGAAGAGAGGAAAAAAAAGACAGGGTTAATGAATGTCACAGAGCAGTGACAAAATATGTTCTGAAACCCTTTCACATCAGTAGAATCTAAATGAGTGAAATAAAAACAATACATAATTTTTAACGAAGATGTTTTTATTCCCCTTAAAAGATTTGATACGGAAATTTAAGGGATTCAGATTCAATAAGCCAATTCAGAACTATTGGAAACATTAAATGGCCAGTGTGCACAAACAGTGACATCACTCTTTCTGTCAGGTTTAAAATCTGTGCTAGGTGTCTCAGTGCATGCTGGGAAAGCCATCAGCTTCCTCTGCAACCCAGATGAGCAGCTGAAGATAATGATTGTGTCTGTTTTTCTCTGTTCCTCCCTCCTGTCCCAGGGAGGTGGTACATCCGCGAGGGCTGGCTGAAGGTGGTTCCTACTAAAGGTGCGGATGCTAAGCCCAAGATGTTCTTCCTGTTCTCTGACATGCTGCTGCAGGCCAAGCGCTGCGGCCCGCTAGAATACACCAACAGAGACAAGTTCGCCGGCCAGCACGCCTACCCCCTGCAGGACTGCACTGTGGAGAAGGTGTTTGGCCACACCAGGAGCCAGGGAGGCCTGCTCAGTGTGAGTATTGTTCACGCAATTGTTCAGTTCCTTTCCAAAACAGTAGAGGGATCAGGGTGTTTCAGAAATATTGTATTAGATCATATTCAGCTCACAGTCAGAGTGGAAAACAGACTGAAAAACAACATTACCAAAACAAGATGGAAGAAGCATGAATGGATTACTGACTGACTTATGAAAAGCAACTGAAAAAACACATAAGAAGAAAGACCTATACAGAAGAAGGGGGAACAGCAGGAAACATTTTATTCTGTTTTATTTAATATATGCTTCATCTTAGCATCAGCTGATTTGATGGCATATTTTTACACAGAATGAGGACTGTGTATTTTTTCCTGCATGTCCCTCTATTTCAGTCACCTATAACTTTTTCAATGTACATTTAATAAACTTATCATTTTTGTTCACAATTACACTTAAAAAATCTCATCCTATGAAGTTTTTAATGAATTATTTACTGTATAATATAATAGAACTCTCTAGTCTTTGTCTGTCCAATAATAAATATAACACAATTAAATAAAATCAGCAGTGAAATCTCTGATCTCATGAAGATATGTCAGTGCTGTTCAGTATTTATATATAGCCATTTCACTGGAATTGTATTTTAAAATATTTAATGTAACAAATGAATTTGTTGAGTTATTGATAGTGTACTTGTTTGTAGGTATTTTATGTTTTATACAGAATGCATGTTTTATTAGCCGCAGTCACATTACCATTAGGGCTACAATAATTATTTTTAATGTTGATTATCTGTTCATTATTTTCTCAGTTAATGAATTAGTTGCTTATTCTGTAAAATGTCAGAAAATGGTTAAAAAAAAAAAAGGTCAATCAGTGTTTCCCTAAGCCCAAGATGATGACATCAAATTTCTTGTTTTGTCCATAACCTAACAATATTCAGTTTACTGTCTTAGAAGAGAAGACAAACCAGAAAATATTCTTTTTTTTAAAGAAGATGGAGCCCAAAAGGGGATTTTTGTTCTGTCTTGTGCACACAAATTATCTTGTGGGAACAAGTCATTATGTGGGAACAAGTTATTTATCTTGTGGGAACAAGTTATCTTGTGCACATGAGTTAGTTATTTAATAGGAGCAAGTTATCTTGTGGGAACAAATTATGTTGTGCACACAAGTTATTTTATGGGAACAACACATTAAGTTGAGGGAACAAGTTATGTGCACACTAGTTAATTATTTTGTAGGAACAAGTTACTTATCTTGTGGGAACAAGTTATCTTGTGTACACAAGTTATTATTTTGTGCGTGGAAGTTAATAATCTTGTGGGAACAAGTTAATTATCTTGTGGGAACAGGTTAGTTATCCTGTATACAGTTATTAGTTAAAGTTATTATTTTGTGCTCATAAGTTATTAATCTTGTGATAAACTCACAAGTCAGTCTTTAGACGCTTTGCTTAACTAAAGACTGATGTCTTTCTCCCTGATTTTGTGTTTAGATGGGCGGATACAATTTCAGAGTTTAAAAAAACTCCCTACGTTGCAGAACCAATAGTAAATCCGAAGGGCAGTCCTTAGGTAGCTCGCTGAACTCTTGTGCTCGTAAACATAGTCTGACTGCGTTAAAAGTTTTAAACAAAGTTGCTGTAAGTCCTTCATTTCCACAATCTTGTGGACTGAGCACACATTTGATAAAACGGAATTAAATCTCTCAGCATCCATTTTCAAGCTCGGACGAGAAAAGGGGGAGCGTACGTTTCCGGGAGGGCGTGTCCTTTTAAAAAATGCAAGAGGCATTGCTTTGTTGCCGGCCGTTTTCTCCGGTATGTCCCCAGACTATCAGAAGGCGGAGATCTCTGATTGTCTGGTGGCGAGACTAATCTTGTGAGAACAAGCTGTTTTGTAGGAACAAATTATTATCTTATGTAAACAAGTTAATTTTCTTGTAGGAACAAGTTATTATCTTATGTAAACAAGTTAATTTTCTTGTAGGAACAAATTATTATCTTATGTAAACAAGTTAATTTTCTTGTAGGAACAAGTTATTATCTTGTGGGAACAAGTGAATTATGTGGGAACAAGTTCAATATGTTTGGGGAATGAATTTTCTCATGCACACAAGTTGATTGTCTGGTGGAAACAAGTAATGTTGTGGGAACAAGTTATTATCTTGAGTTAATTATGTGGGAGCAAGTTCAATATGTTAAGGGAACAAGTTCTGCTTTACACACATGTTAATTATCTTGTGGGAACAAGTTGTTATGTGGGAACAAAATGATCTTGTGGGAAAAAGTTATTATCTTGAGGGAACAAGTTAATTATGTGGAAGCAAGTTCAATATGTTAAGGGAACAAGTTCTGCGTTGCACGCATGTTAATTATCTTGTGGGAACAAGTTGTTATGTGGGAACAAAATGATCTTGTGGGAACAGGTTATTATCTTGTGTTAACAAGTTAATTATGTGGGAAAAGTTCAATATGTCATGGAAACGGTTTATGTTTAGCACACAAGTTAATTATCTTGTGGGAACAAGTTATGTTGCGCACACAAGTTAGTTACTTTGTGAGAACAAGTTATTATCTTGTGGGAACTCATTATCTTGTATGAACAACTTAATTATTATTACAAGTTAACTTGTTCCAACAAGTTAATTAACTTGATGCATACAAATGAAAAATATAACCTTTTGGGGCTTTAGGAGCTCCATAGGAATCACAGAATTGTGACCCTCGGAAAAATCTACTCAAAGCAATTAATCAGTCATCAAATTAGTTGGTGATTTAATAGGTGACAACTAATCAAATAATCAATTTAGTTACCATACCAGATTCTTAAAGTCAAGTCATTGACTGTTACTGAGCCTTCAGTTTATTGAACATATTCTCTTTATATGTTTCCAACACGAGGGCCATTTACAGCAGTCAACACAGGATGTGTAATTTAAGTGCAGAAAATTGGGAAAAGTTGAATGTTAAAAAGAAAAGAGAGTTTGTTGGGCAGCAGGTGGGGAAGACATCTGTTCATTGGTTTGAATACACACATGAATGAGTCCTTAGCAGAGGCATTATTTAATTTCCTCTTTTGATGTATGTTGCTTTAATTTGTCTTACTTATGGCCCTGACGGTTGCTGTTGTAGAATCTGCCAAATACAGGTTCCCTGAATGTTTTCCAGCCGCACTGAATGAAAATGTCATTTAGTTATGCTTGTCAGAGGAGACCTGCGTTCCCTCGCCTCTTCCTCTCCCTAATCACTTCAAACCCTTGTTGAAGTAGCCCCAAAAGTTGAACTTTTAATGTGTCTCTCCTCTCAGTCTGATCCGTCTCCCAGGTCTCAGTACAGCTGCTGGCTGACAAATTGTGTCTAAATGATGTAGCTGCTGTCATGAAACATTCAAAGGAACGAGTCGCGCGTCATTGAGTGAGTAACGAAAGCGTTTATGCAGCAAGCGTTTAGTGCCAATGCTGCATGGTATCAATATTCATTTCAGCAGATTCGCTCTTGCTCAAAGAGCTCTTTATGTGGTGCTGCTAATGTGCTTCCCTGTGATGCACAGCGGCTATGTAGAGGTCTGATTACTCTACTGTCTGCTCACTCTGCTGTCTGTCCAACATGTTGGCAACATTTGATGCTTTTTGACATTAAGCTTGATTCACACAATGTACAGTAAGGCTGAGGCAGTTAGTGACCTGATAAAACTAGTAATTCAATAACTGATTCTGGTCCAAGACCCGATTAAGAGGACAAAAGTGATATCAAACTGAGAAATTTAGCACATTTCAGAATAGAGCAAGACATTTGAGGACGTCATCTCAGGCTTTGGGAAACACAGATTGTTTTTTTTCCTGAAACACGGCTGCAATTAATGGTTAGTTCCAAAGTCAATTCATCTGTCAATTATTTTCTCAATGAATTGGTTAGTTGTTTGGTCTATAAAATGTCAGAAAACTTTGATCAACATTTCCCAAAGCCTGAGATGACATCCTCACGTGTCTTGTTTTGTCCACAAACCAAAAACATGCAGTTCTCAAGAGGAACCAGGAAAGAATTTTGTCTTTTTTTTCTTTTATAAAAAAAGATTGAAAATTGATTATCAAATGAGTTGCTGATTAGATAACTGGCAGCTATTGGATTAATTGTTGCAGCTCTAGGATCTAGAAAATGCTCCAGATTTTTACCTTTGATATGTTTTTCAGCTGTTGGTCACAGTGGGAGTCATTTCAAACAGGGCTGCGCTTAATGATTATTTTAATCATCAATTAGCCTGTCATCTATTTTTCAAATCATCAAAAAAAATTAGTTTGTCCAATGTCAATAAAGAGAAAAATCCCTAATCCCTAACCTAAAGCAACATCTACATATGTGCCATATTTGATTGACAACTGCAATAATTAACAAATTACCAAAATTGTTGTCAATTAATTTTCTGTCTTTTGATGAAATAATGAACTTGTGTCTCTGACTTTAAAACTCTTTGCAATGAGTTGTGATAGGCATCTGTACACTAAATGATTCAAAATGGGATAATTAAAACAATTCTTTGTGGCAGCCATTAATGTGTTTAATAAGAACTGTTTTGTTTTCTAAATCCCCTAAGAATTTGAAAAAAAAAAAGAAAATTCCATCACAAGTCATTTTACTTATCTCGTGTAAATCAACTCCTCAGTGACTCAAGAAATATCAACATATATTACAAGTTTAAGTTCTCTTATTGTAAATGCTGTGTAGACACAAGCAACCATACAAGAAATACAGCTGGATCTAATTCTGGCTGCAACTAACAATTATTTTGTTATTGATTAATCTGTCTGTTATTTTTGAAATGAATGATTAATTGCTTGGTTTATAAAATGAGCTGTGTTTCTACATGTCGGATCAACAGCTTTACATTTTGGTTCTTATTTGCTTGAGATATTAAGTTTACTAGAATACTCATGCAATGCATTTTTTTTAATGATAAATTACTTTTTAATTTTTTTGTTGACGAACTAATCAGTCTACTTCTAGTTTAAGCCCTAAATAAATTCCATTTTACGAGACATTTAATGCCACTTTCTGACACCCTTTAGTACTACACACACATCTTGGTCCACACATTAAAGTATTGTTGTTTGACGCCTATTCCTAAAAATGATTAGTGAGAGCTTGTTGGTGTAAATGTAGCCGATTTACCTGCCTAATCAGTCATTATGATCCACAAACAAACAGATGTGTCTGAAGAAAAAAGGGGATTTTATCATTAGTGTGTGTAAAATTCAGATTTAATATTTTGTGAGGATGTTTACCACAAACACAGATAAGAGGGTGAATTCAGGTAATGTACAGGACTCATAGTGACGTATCGTCATGACCAGGCTTATGTGACTTCATTTGTTGAAGGTAGTGTGAATTAAAAGCATCCTTCAAGGGACTAATGAAAAGGCTGCAGATGGGGAGATTAGTCAGAGCAGTATTATTTGGAGAGTGTGTGTGTGTGTGTGTGTGTGTGTGTTAAGAGTCGGGGAGTGTAGTGATGGCTGCCTGCTGTAACAGAATCTCTCAGTTGCTGGATCAGATTAGGCTGCAGATCCATCTCTTCCGGCCCTCCAGTAAATACATCTTCCTCAAGCCTGTCGCCGCTCTCCGCCAGCCGCGCTGCGCGTTATCTAATGGCAGAAATGGCATTTCATTAGCCTCTTATCCCACCGAGGCCCAAATGCATACTCAATAGCATTACACGTAATTTCTCATAAGGACACATTATTGATCCCGGGCCCCTACCTGAGCTCAAGGAAAAGGGCTGTCAGCACTCCAGGGCCCTCCTCATCCAGGGCCATGAAGAATTAAAGCCAAATTAAATTTGACAGCTGTAAATGCCATGGCAATCTATATGCAAAGTTTAGGTGAAAAAAATAGCTTTTATTAAAATTTCCGTTTTTTTTTTTTTTTTTTTTTTTTTTTTGGTCACATATGTTTGTCGAGCCGGCTTTTATTTGCGGCTCGCCCCATGTTTTCTTCTTCATCTCCTGTCTCCTCCTCTCCCTCCATCTGTCGACCTTCCTTATTCTCTCCTCTCTCTCTGTCTGCAGTCTTCCTCTCGCTAATATCCCCTTGCCGCTTGAATATTTTCCCACATCCCTGACAGATTCTCTTTGATGTATAAATAATCAAGCTAAATTATGTGCAGCGATGAGGCTCCATGCTCTGCCGTTCTTATTATACAAAGTAATTTCTACCTAAGAGGGTCAGATTTCCTGACAAATCCCTAATTACCGCATTGCAATAGAAGTGGAATCTATTTGTGCATAAATCAACCGCCGTCCCCCAAGTGGCGAGTGCCTAATACCATGCGGCACTCAATTCGGCCCCACTCACTGAACTCTGTAATTAGATAATACTTTTGATGATGGTACATTTGAAATCTTAATCTATTTAATGTATAATGAGAGACACTCCCCTCCTCCCCCTGTGTAAAAACATGATTATATTTGATGAGCTATACACTCCTCCGTACCAGTGTAAAGTTCTGTCCAAATAACACATGGAAATAATCGATATGTCACTTCTCAACAAGCTGGCTTCCTGTGTAGAGGCTGCAGCCGCAGGTAAATGTGAAAGGTCGTTTAATATGGTGGAGGCCTAATTTTGATCCCCTGTAATAGCTTTCCCGGTGTAATTATGCGGCTCTAAAAGCCCCTTTTGTTTGGGCTCGGACAACTCCTTTTGCTTTGTTTGACAATCTGAGGCCGGTTTTAGCAATGTGAATGAGAGAGTTGATAATTACTGTTGACTCAAAGGAAGAGGACCCTGTCACTGTGTAAATCTGAGTGGAGAACACATTTCTGTCCAGCTGCATACACGACGCAGTCTAGTGTGTCTTGTATATGCAACAGATTCTTGTACTTTATAGACTTTATAGACTTGTGTTTTCTTTACCATCAGATTTCAGTGTTTCAAGGGCGATGGACGCCTGTGAAAAGCAGCACTTAGTGAGGAGCTGGCAGATGGAGGTTTTTGCTTGATTTGGGCTGCCCTCTACTGTTGTTACAGTGTTACTGCAGCTTCAGCCCTGTTGTAGCGAGGCCTCTGATGACTAACAGATGCGAGACTACTAAAAACAACCAAAAGCTGATCATTCTAAAAATGTGCCTAAGTGCAGTACACAGAAAGGAAAGTAACTGTACTTTAGGGTTAAGTGTCCTCGGATCAGCCCTGATGTGAAAGCCTCTTCAGGCTGTAACTAAAGATTTCTTGAGTCACCTTTCTACAGTACACCTTGGTCTTAGGGTAGGTATAACTAATTCTGGTGTGGGAGCAGTAGACAGTGTATGCTTTATATACAATCATTTAAGTATTTCACTGCTGGGAAGATAGGCTTTTCATAATTCTGGGCTGTTTGTCCAGTAGAAAGACTACTTGAAATTGTTGCTACATCCATGACCAGAGGAACGAGAGGGAAAGGACTTTGGCATCTGATGTTTCTCAAGAGGTAAAAAGAAAACAAACTTAAAACTACCAGAACGAACAGCACCGCATCGGACCAATATACTCTCCCGCCGATGGGTGATGTAAATAGTAAATGGACTTGTGTAACTCCTTTCTAGTCTTCTTACCATTGAAAGCACTTTTTACACTACAAGTAACATTCATACACTGGTGGCTGAGGTTACCATGCAAGGTGCTATCTGCTACTCAGTTTTGTACACCCTCTCACACAGATGGAACAGCCATTGGGAGAAATTTGGGGTTCAGTATCTTGCTCAAAGATACTTTGACGTGGAAAGTGGAGGAACTGAGGATCAAGTCGTTTGATCTCAGTTTGTTCAGTCTCCCTTTTTACAGTACAGGAAACAGTATGGAGGCCTCTTCCTGTTCAAAAAACTTCTGACTATTACAGCCAAACAGTGCACGAAAATATGTGTCTGAAGAAATTTTAGGCAATATGGACATCCAGTACCCATCCAGTCAGGAATCACAGGAATAAAACTTAACATGTTATTACAGGATACAGGTCGAAGTGAAAATATGAGCCAGCAATTCTATCTTGAAAACTTATTCAATACCAAGAAACACAAAGCCCTTTTAGGCCACTGTGTTGTACTCATGTGTTCTACCCTATAATGTAAAACACAGCAACAGGGACTTTCTCCTAATAAGGGTAAACAGTGAATTAGCATAGTGCCACAAATCACACACTGTAAGGTATTCTGTTACTGCATGTGTTTATATGTGTTTGAGTGGCAAACATAGTGTGTACCTGGAAGATGAAAAAGTAGAGCAAGGACACAAAATCTCAATGAAATGAATGAAGAAGCCTGTGTTTTAGCTGTGTTGCTAATGTCACTGTGACTTGGCCATGACAGTTATCCAAACACTCAGCATAACCTCAAACACACCCATACTGCCAACAAACATCTAAACTAGTCTCCTACACCTCCTCTTCCTCCAGTTAACCTTCCCAAAGGCCAAACTCCTGCTGATGTCCTGCAACCAGGAGGATCTCAATGACTGGTACCAAAGCCTGAGCTCAGCTATCAGGTATGTACCTGCTACACCCAATAAGTACACGTTGCAGCCATGCAGACCCCCTGTTTATTTTTGTAGAGGAGTGCAAACTTGTCACCTTTTGGGGAATAGGTCACAAATTAGGTCAGTTGTTGTCTGCCCACATGCCTAAAGGTAAGAATTTCTTGCAGTAGATGATAACCTTACTTGGCTCATGTGACAATGTGTCAGGCTGGTACTGTTCACTAGCCTGATTGGGTTGAGTTGTTTTGATTTGGGAATGCTAGCCAGTGTTTCCCCTCACGCCGCTGCTATAATATCTCCCTATATGCAATTTATTTGCTATCTCCACTTTAAGCAGTTGGGGCCGAGCACAAATTATAAATAAGACACCCAATAGTTCCAAGGCTGATCAAAAGAGCCAATCAACTCTTTCTGATAATGCTACACTGTGAACAACGAATCAGTGTTGACGTCAGCAGGAGGAGAGTTAGTTAACCGCTGCAAGCAGTCAGCCAAAACTGACAGAAGTTGCATTGAGTTACATAATGATGCATTCAAGCTCTATTCTGTAAAAATAATTATGGGACGAAGGTTATATGTGATGTTTTCACATTGTGTTAGAATGTATTCGTGTAAAATGTATTTTTTGGTGAGAAACATGAAAAATTTACAGCTGCTTGAAGGAGAAATTTGTTGTGTCTTCACAGCAATATAAACTATATATTAGAAAGGGAATTTTGATTTATTATATATTGTAAAAGGGCTTTTGGAGCAGTTATTTAAAAACATGTTTTTCATATGAAAAGAGTTACTATAAAGGTTGTTTAATGTGTATGACTGAATGTGTTCAAAGGTATTTTAAAGAAGAACTGAATGACTTCAAAACACTTCATTTTTTTCAATGATTTCTTTGTTTCCCTGGCACAAAAAGGGAAATAAATACCAACAAAATAAACCACAACAACAAAAAATACATCTGCCCGGAATTTCACAGTCAGTGCATCCCTAATATAAATTAAAAAATGCTGAGAAATAGCTAAATGGACCAATGATACTTGTGATGTAGTTAAACAGAACGCTTGTTAAATTAGCTTAATTGTGTTGCCTAAGAAAAGGGCAAATGTCAAGCTCACTAAAAATGACAGAAGCTGAATTGAAATGACCTTGTGACAGTTTTTCTTTTAGTTGTAGTGGTTGTGAAATCAGTTTAGAAACTTTCTATCTAAGCCCTGAATTTAATTCACCAAACAGCAGTTGCAGTAGCTGTAAAGAGCAAAAACCACATACATTTTTACATCTACGATGTAGCACAATGTAATTTTTTTTGTAATTTTAATTAATTGTAGGGTGAGTTTTTTTCCCGTATTTTTATGTGTGAAAGCCATTTCCCTCAGTGGGAACAAAGCTTTAATTTACTTTAATTTCAGAGATAAGAAACAATAAATTACAAAGCTAATAAATGTCCCAATTTATCCTAGCTTCATATGAGTAGAGGAAAAGTCAGATAGCTGCTAGACTGTAAGCAGTGGGATACGTCATAGGCTTATGTTAAAAACATTAGCATGCTGTATTTGTGGGGAAAATGTATCTAGTATAAGACAAGTTGTTGGTGAACCTTGTGAGTTATAATGGAGCAGAATTTTGTACTTTTGTTAGATGTCGCTATTAAGCCATGTGTTATGTGTGTTTTAGGTGTATTAGTTGAATCGAACTTTACTGAATTTCACAGAAACTTAACACAGTGGCACAGAAATCCCACCAACAACTAGGTTTTTGGAATTGTGACATACAGTCTTTTGTATCTTTTCTTTTAAAAACATTTCACAAGTATATGGTTGATTTTTTAAAGGTTTAGTAATTTTCTCAAGTATAGAATATTTCAAATGCCTAAATGCCACCTTAGTAATTGTTCTTTTAATCTATGTTTTTTATTTAATCATTACACAGAAAATGTATACATTAAGGAAATACATGTAATGGTGTGTGTTGTATTTCACTTGACTTTATTGGCTTTATTTAGGCATTTTAAATCCTCCATAAACAGGAGGAAATAGTGCGTCATTCAGGGATTTTTTTTTCAGTGGCGGATTAATCTACATTTTACAGCAGAGGAGTGTATGTGGGATGAAGTGAAAATAAACTACAGTGTGTGTGTTCATAGTAATGAAGGAGCATGTGTTAATCATGTGAATGGTGACCTGTACGTGTTTGTGTGTGTATTTTCATTGTTTGGATATGCTGTCATCCTGTTTCTCGTTGTCTGATGAGTAGCATGTAGCTCAGAACTTCGCCTGTATGTGGTTTGAACAGAGATAATAGATGGATTGGGAGCTCAGTATGCAGTGTGTGGACAGTGGTTTGATTGTCCTAACTCTCAGTGGGTAAAGAATGACTCTGAGTAAAACTTTGACACAGGCTGGTACTGTACCTCAGGCCTGTCTGTCTCTCAGACAGCCTCTCATCATTGATCAGCCAGACCTCAGTAACTCCACTCCCAGCCCGCCTGGCCCCGGCTCCCCGGAGGAGGGTCCGGGTCAGCCCCGCTATGTGGAGGGGCCAGCTATGCTGAAGGCCCCGACCCCGGCGTGCCCGGCCAGGCTAATTAGTTTATCACTTTGTCAGAGAGGGGAGAGAGGAGGCTGTCAAAGAGCTCAGACCACCCAGCAGATGGGGGCCGAGGCTGCAGGCTGACGGCTCTAAACTCCAGGGAGCGTAATTAGCTGCGGTGGAGGACTGAGGAGAGGACAGGCTGAGAGGACCAGGGGTCAGCAGCACTCACACCACTGGGGAGGAGAGCAGGGCTGAGGGGTGTGTGTGTGTGTCTACACATAGCTAAATTATTGATTTAACAAAGACTACACACTGCCTGGACTGACATCTCTGAATCTATTGAATGTTGCTCTCAATGATTATAAAAAATGTATTGTTTTCTGTGGCCAAGCCATATCAGATTGGTAGCCATGTTTCCAGGCAAAATACCCACTTTACACACACATACACTCCTCCTCACATCACCAGCTGCTATCTTCTGTCTGTGACTGCAGAGGTAACTTTAAGAAAAGTTTTACTCTTTAACTCTTGATAGTTTTTTTTCTTCTTTGCAGTGCTTCCCTTTGTTGAAAAAATGTTATTGATACCCCCCCCCCCACACACACACACACACACACACATATACACACACAACTCCTAGCCAAGGGACTTAATTAGTGTGTAGATCAATGCTTGGTGACAGTAAGTGTACGGTGAGGTAGGCTGAGGGCTGACCACCAGGGATGTAGTGAAGGCTAAAGACAGTTTAACTCTTACTTACCTTTTCATCTGCAGAACTCTGACCCTCTCCGCCTTCACGGGCTGATCTCATAAGATACATTTATAATATATGTACGGCTGGAGATCATTTACATATTAACATTTTTAACTCTCAGTAGATAATGTGTTGTGATATGAAACCATGTTATCATTGTGCAAAATTATTTGGCTCAAAGACAGTATAATGTATTTATTAAAGTTTTTTTGACAGAGTAATACAAAAACATGTATTTTTTTATTTTTTATTTATTTTTTATTTTTTATTTACTTTTATTCAACCCCTGAGGGGAAATTCAATTTTTTCACTCTTTTGTCATTTGTCCTCGGTTTAGATTTTCTTTGACCCATAAGGCTTCGAGATAATCTTCTGTCTTCGATTTAGAAGTGGTGGCACTATACAGTCTCTGGCTTTTGTTTTATATCTAGTGTCGCAAAAATTTTGTAGCACATTTGCGATCTGTCATTAGCACAGTTAGACTGTTTATTCTATTACACGAATGTCACTGTCACACTGAATGTCCCACTGAGCCCTGTTCAATCTCTCAAACTCTACATGGGGGAAAAACGGAATAAATAGTCAAAAATTTGTATTGAACAGCCAAATCTGATTCAACTGACTACATTTGCCATATTGTTTTGTTTTGTTTTATTGTTTTGTATTTTTACTGATATTGACAAATGTGCTGATGTTATTTTCAACAGATATCCTACTGTCAAGTGAAGCATAATGTAGATTTAGTTTAAATTTGTGGAGTAGAATTTAGGTCAGCCATTAATGTTACCAAACACACTCTACTTTAAAGGGATAGTTCACCTGAAAATCAAAAATACATATTTTTCCTCTTACCTGTAGTGCTGGTTATTAGTCTTGATCCTGGGTTCTCAATGGGGAGTCTGCAACCCCTAGGGGATTTATACTTCTGTGGCTTTCCGTCGACGTAGAGCCTACATCGTAACCTATGCCATAGCCTGATGTGCACCTCCACAGAAATGTAACTACACATTGCGACGACACAGACCCCCTGTCTATTTTTTGTAAGCTGAAACCATTTCCCTCAGTAGAAACAAAGATTTTATTTACTTTCAATTTACAGAGAAGAAAGAATATATTGTGAAGACAATAAAGGTTCCACAAAATAGCATTTTATATCTTGTGTGTGATTTATCCTGGCTTCATATGAGTAGAGGAAATCTCCACTAGTCACTAGGCTAATTTATACAGTGTAAAATGCCATAGGCTTGTGCTAATAACATTACAATGTTGTATTTGTGGGGTAAATGTGTCAAAAACAAGTGCTTTGTCTATGAATCCTGCAAATTATAATGAAATTCTCACTGTGAAGCCATGTTTAATGTGTGTTTTAAATCAACTCAACTTTACAGCTCTTCACAGAAATCCCACCGCTGATCGCTACAGCAGTGTAACACAGACACACGTCTGCACAAGTAAACACTGATGCACAAGTATAAGTCCTGCCTTACTGCAGCATAAGAACAAAATTATTGTTTGGTAATTCACTTTATGATTTAAGTTTTGTTAGTTGTTTTTTCTTTAATTAAACAATGTACTAAAATACACATTAACTTGAATCAAACATATTGTTAGCAAAAATAAATCAGCCTATTAATGAAAAAACGAATTTAAGTAAATTAAATAATTTACAGCACATTGATGATAGACTAACTGTTACCCATAAATTCTTGTGCAAACATGTTAGCTAGCTAACGCTAAAATCACTGTGTGGCCCCCTAGCCATAACAGCGTGGTGAACTAATTAGCTAACAGTTACATACTATCAAAACACATTGGCCAGTTAGCTGTATTATAATTCCAAGTGTGAAAGAGAGACAGAGCGGGGATCACCTACTTAGCAGAGAAGTTGGTTTGTGTTTTTGTGTCTCTGTGTCTCTTTCAGCTAAAGGGTCTTTGGCCTGGAAATGTTAAAGACCCTTGGTTTGGATTGTTTTGGTGTGAGTTGTCAAGTGTTGGAGATATCGGCCTGCCTTCTCTCTAATGGAACTAGATGGCACTCAGTTTGTGGTGCTCAAAGTGCCAAAAAAAATACATTTGAAAAACTAAACAGCAATGCCTCTTTCCAGAAATCATGACCTGGTAGATAATCCACACACTTGTTGTGAGCAGTTTCATGTAGGGAACTGTTTCCTTTCTACACCCACCAATCTTATCAGCTCACCTAGCACCACTGAGCTAGCTAACATTACAGGTCAGCCAAGGAGGACGCCATTATTAGTCGTCATCCATGAGTAAATGCAAACTTCCCTCTGTGCGGTGATGCAGTTGGTGGGTGTAGATTGGTGGTACAAACAAACAAACATGAAATTTCAAAACCTTAGGGCTGTACCCAACTCAGACTTACTGTATGTCACGGGAATCATATTCAGTTGGTTAATGTGAATATTCTATTTTTGTATTTATTTTATTTTATTTTTTACCATTCCATATAAAGATTTAAAGTTGAACGCGGCTCAGTGGGACGTCAAGTGTGACAGTGGCATTCCTGTTATACAGCAAACAAGCTAACAACGGATCAGAAATGTGCAACATTTTTTGCTGGCTGTCAGATAACTGTTGGTAGAGGAGTAGTAGTAGTAGTAACAACTACTGTATCAGTAGAGAAATGCCAAAGAATGTGTATGTTTGAGGTCATTTAGAAACAGTGTGTGTACATTACACAATCTTTCCATCAGAGAGCACCAACAACTTTATATTAACTGTACACCTATAAAGGTGTGATTCCCTTGAGATTCATATTTAAGAAGGCTTTTTATTTTTGTCAGTGTGTATGTCTTTGTGAACTGGATAGACTGATAACTGAGTGTGTGTTGTGTTTACAGGAAGCTGCAGTCTAAGCAGACAGTCATCCATCAAAGAGATGAGTTGTGCCGGAGACCCCTCCGATCAGCAGCCGACAGCCACAACATGCCAAGCAGCAGCAGCAGCAGCAGCAGTAGTGGTAACCCCAGCAGGAAGAGAAACATGGTGAGTTACACGCACACAGTGACAAACATGCATAGACCTCAGTTTAAACTTTCTGAGTTGACGTTGTATGTCTGAAAACAGTCATAAATCACACAAGTTCCTTGATGTCATATCTCAGAAAGATGAATATGAAGTACTGAATTTAAAATGTTGTTTGTTGGTTTTTTTAATATTACTTAATTATTAATCAAATTGAATACCTTACAAATTCATAAAATGTAACTATAGAATAATTTCTGCTGGTACAAATATTAGTCCATAATGTTGAACCCTGATGAAGACTGAACTGAACTTGACGGTTGTTCCTACAACAGTTAAAGCTGCACGAATCAAACTTTTTGTATTAGCAATGGATGACATAACTATGTGTAATGTGAAAGGACTCGCTCATAGTGATGAACCCACAGAGAATAATCACCAACACCAAAGTTCCTCTCAGCTCTACACAATGTTTTAGCCTCGTTTAGCTCATTGTTTTGGTTCTCACTTTCAGTAAGTCTCATCTGTAGTGGAATTAACATCGTATACTCTTAACATGACAGCCCACCAGCAGATGGAGACATGAAATACAGTACTTTTCAATGTATGTAATATTCATTCATTGTGAAGAGTAAGAAAAAACATGTTAATCGATTGTAATCGTTCATTTTAAAGCCAATACTTGCCGATACCCATGACATGCCGATATTATCGTGCATCCCTAGTTAGCACAGCTGTTGAGGGTGAATTTTCACTAGTTGCAAAATGCTTCAAAAAATAACTCCAGCTGTTGTATTTGTGTGAGTAACTTGCTATGATAATGTTGCTCTGTGTGTGCTGGATGTGCTAACACGTTGCTGCTTATAACATAAGGTTATAGGTTCACCATAACAACTTTATAAGGTGATGATGAGGTTTTGCTGGTCTGAATAATGACAAAAACCCATTGTGCAAGTCCTAAGATTTAAAACCAACTTTTCTCAGTTAGCTTCTTATTCTGATGGAGTCCTACATCAACACAAACGTCTCTGTTGAAGTTATGAGTCTAGTTATTTTATTGGAGAGTATTTTGTCTTGTGTCAGAGCTCTTTCCTCTGGTCTGTAGTGAGCAGGGCTCAGTTGGCAAAAGCTGATGTCACCATACACCAATTAGGATTTAGCAACATTAGAATCAAATGTGATCGCAGCTGCTTGTTTCACCTGTGGTGCCGGACCACTGTCAAGATGCAGCAGATTAGTTTTAAACTCCGAATGAATATCTAAGCACATTCATTTCCAAACTTTAATTCTGATTGTCTATAATTAAGTCAGAGATATTTTATTTTCAAATTTGAAACCAGGTTTTCAGAGGCTTTAATCCTCATCATAGAGCCAGGTTCCATCTAATCTGCCATCAGAGTGAAAAGTGCCTCTGCTCTTGTCATCAGGTGAATGCTGAGAGCAGTGAGCACGCTCAGATGCCTCCAGTTGAGTGGGAGAGCAGCGCCCCCAAGAGGATGAAGCAGACTGATGCTCCAGAGCAAAGGTGGGATCATATGAGTTGATTTAATGGTCTTAGGTTCCTGCTCTGCCAGAAAGCTTAAAGTCCCATTCCATTCAAAAATGTCTGAGATGATTTTGTTACATCACAACTAGATTGGAGCCAATCTTGGCCCAGTTTTCGACTAACATAAATGTAGTGTGTAAACCTGAAACTTGCAGCTATACTGGGTGGAGAAGTAGGAGATGTCTTTTAAGATGAAATATATTTACATATTAATCCATTTTTTAACGAGTGATTGAGGAGTAGTTTCATTTTGAGCTTTTTTAGGGAAAACCATATCTGACACAAACTGTAATTAAAAGCAGAGTATTTGTGATCTTTAACAATAAAATATGTAATTTTCCCACATTTAAATGTCTTAAAACAACTAGACCAAATTTATATGTTTTGTTGACTCATGCACTTACATTATCCCCAGTATTTCCAATAATGTTCAAAGCCAGAGAAATCTGTCATTTTAATCAAGGACACGGTCCATGTCATGTCCACGCGTGCGTCAGGTTTGTTTTGTCTGCGAGATGCACTCATAAATTGGCTTTTTATCCAGTACTGAGCCATGTTTTTATGATACACTTGATAGATCTTTTTTTTTTTTTTTTTTTTTAACTATGCTTTGGCGAGGCATTTCATGTACATAAAACATCGGTGTACTGCGTCATTCACCGAGTTTCAAATGCTTTCATCTGCTGAACACCGTAGTGACCTAGTGACACCAAGAAAAGAATGAGATAGCAATAACAGGTAAGCGCAAGTGCAAGCAAACAAATGGTCTGCAGCTTCGGGAAATTGAGTGATCCAACTTTAGACATTGACACAAATCATAAACTGACCTCCGGTCAAATTTTTAGTACAAAATCAAGTGCTCATCTTTAAGGGTGTCCATTGGGTTCTCCCGGTCACGGAATACTCTTCTCAGGATGCCTTCATTTTCCTCATTTATTGCCATAAACTCAGCCATGTTGCATTTAGTGTAAGACCAAGATAAGGAGAAAAACTTGAGGAAACCTTAATGAGAAGACTTAAGGATGCTATGTACAACAGATTTTTTTGTTTTGTTTTGTTTTGATTTAAAAGAAAATCTTAACTTAAATTGCTTTATGCAACCGGCCCCAGGATCTTATGTTATCAGAAAAAACAGTGAGCATACATCAGTGGGAGCTGGACTAGCAGCCCCTCCATGGGAAGCCAAACAGCATCAGAGAAACACTGTTTTTTAACATGAAATAGCTTTATTCATGGTTTTTACTGGTTTAAATCAGAGTTACAACCTCCCAAACCATAACCAGTGACAATTCTAACCAGGAGACACTGACTGCGATGACGGCATATTGACAGTATTTATATGAGATGTTCTGACAGCAGCAGATATTCAGAGATTAGACAGATTCCAGAGCGGTAGCTGTTGACTGTCTTACAGTAATGTGGATTATTTCTGATTCAGTGTGATTTTAAATCTTTTTGTGTGTGTGTGTGTGTGTGTGTGTGTGTGTCCAGCAGTGCAGAGACGTCCACTTCCAGCTGTGTGATCCTCTGATGGACTTCTTCTTCTTCTTCTTCTTCAGACCGTCTGAATGGAGTTCAGTCTGATGGTGATGATGGATCCTGCACAGTCTTTCTGAGAGTTTCACTTCAGACTGACTTTTGTGTTCCATTCAGTTTACCCAAAGGTGACACATGTTTAACACACATTACTATGGGAGTCTTCTGCTTTTCCAGTGCAATATAATCTATCATGATGTGCTGCTTTAAAGACCAAATATCTGATGAATGAATGTTTCACTGTGAGTTGTATGCTGCTGCTGCTGCCTGTCTCCACTTCAAATGTTCTAACACCAATTCAGCAATGTTTATGAGTACACTTCTGGGAGTCCTTTTCCCGGTCGGTACCTGAATGCACCTCTCCACCATTCTTTTTAGTCAGGCTGCATTTACAGGCAGACTCTAAAGAAGGGAGAGCTTATAAATACAATCTATTTGGACAGGCTCCATAATAAACTCTACATACAACAGCATAATATTCAGTTTATTCCAGGTGGACCATGGGGCTTGGACGAGGTCCTATTTTTAAAAAGTCGGTGTAAAAAAAAACGGGCCAGCGACAATTTAGGCCTCACAGCTGTAAAGCCTTTCACTCTCTAAAAATCCAGTCACATAACAGAAACAGTCACACGTCTGATTCTGTCAAATCAGCTTGTCTCACTGACGGAGGCAAAACAAAACTTTATTTACAGCAGTCATGCTACATTCATGTCATATTGTATTTACCACAATGACCAGGGTCAGTCTTGGAAATAATTATTGCAACATCTAAGTGGTAAACATGTATGAAGCTACAACATGGCCAGTATTAAATACATTCAATAAAAATGATGAAACTATATAGTATTAAACTTAGTGAAATTAGTCATCTTGTGAATGAATAGAGCCAATTATAGAGTATCTGGAGAAAACATTTATTCTGAATAAACAATGATTAAAACTCAAATTATTATTATGAAATGTTATTTCTCTTTTAATTTTAGTCTTTTTGGAGTTAATTTTATCTTCTTTTTTCAAATGACAATTTTCAAAGTTAGATATAAAAAAATCAGAATAATGAAATAATAACAATAAGTTTAGTGGTATTAATCTGTTTATTTCATATGTATATGATTATGTATTTCATGATGCCCTCTTTTTTATTTAATATTGGTCATTATAATGTTTCATTGATATGACTGGGAATGTATTTGTCCAACTTTATTTGGATGTTTCATGCCAGCCAGAGTCCAACATTTAAGCCAACTGATCCCTAATTGATTAATAATCACACTACTGGTCCAATTTCAGCACACTGTTGGATAACTGCTCATTCAGTGTACACTCCTCTTTATAACACTGCCAGTCTTCATCTGAGTTTATCCCACTGTTTCTATGCTATTGTGTTTCCATGACATGAGCATGTCAGTGCTGCTGACTCAACCACGTCACATTATAGGGAAACTTTGGGGATATTTCTCCAGGTTTTTGTATCTAAGTGACTAATGGAGTTTTTGACATTCTCAAGTATGAAGAGAGAGCGCTGTAGCAGCAACAGCAGCAAAACAAGCTAATTTAAGTTTACTGTCCACTAAAAGTGTTTGTTCTCCCCACTGACTGGATCAAACTGTTATTATGAGTGACTGACAACATTACAGAAAGGATCTCTGCAGAGAAATTGAACATTGCTTCATACCTTTCGCTGATCTGTTATTGTGACCAAGTCACGATCACAAAGAGAAGTCTGAAATCTAACGAGAGGTGACTTATTGCAGGAAAAACAGTGGTGGTATGGCGGCACGGTAGTGCAGTGGTTAGCATTGTCGCCTCACAGCAAGAGGGTTTCTGCTTCGAGTCCAGGTTAGGGGAGCCCTTCTGTGCGGAGTTTGCATGTTCTCCCTGTGTTAGCATGGGTTTACCCCGGGTGCTCAGGCTTCCTTCCACAGCTCAAAGACATGCAGGTTAATTGGTGACTCTTAGTTGTACATAGGTGTGAATGTGAGTGTGTCTCTATGTGTCAGCCCTGTGATAGTCTGGCGACCTGTCCAGGGTGTACCCTGCCTCTCACCCAATGTCAGCTGGGATAGGCTTCAGCCCCCAGCGACCCCCAACAGGAAACAATCTGAACCTGTCAGTGACAAAAACAAGCACTTTTAGTGGACGTAAGCTGATGGTGCAGAATTCCCTGTAGAGATTACATTGCAGCCTGTGTTGCTGCTGTGGCTGCTGCGGTCTCTCTCAATACCGGGCCAGTTTCAAAAACCTGCAATCTCGAATAGTCTCTCAGACACAAAAACATGGGAAAATAGAGTCCAGGGTGAGTTTCCTTGTGGTGTCTGCTCTAACTAGCTCCTTCACACAGCCTTATTGCCTCACAGAAACATGATCATCTGTTCAAATGTATAATTCTTGGAATTTTTAGAATGTTTAGTGTTTGTTTGGCATATATAGATTAGTTATTCATAGCTTTTACATGGGAGACACTGTGGGGAATTATTATTATTATTATTATTATTATTAATGGGATGTGTGCATTTAATGAGCGGCACCATATTCTGCAGTACAATGACTGATTTCTGTGAAGTATCTGTATCCAGGCAAGAAAACCTGGTTAACAGATGTAAAGTTCTATATGCTATATGCATTACATCATGTCTTTTCTCCTACATTGTATCCTGTAAACATATTCTTTATTTACTAATCAACAAATATTTGCTTCTCACCTGCAAAATACTACATATATTTTATTAGCACTGTTTGTGCATTTTTAAGCTTTGTATGTATCTTACAAATCATTTTATTCTATTTTTAAACCCTTTTTGCTACCTGAAGCTGTTACACTGGTTATAAATCATGAATGGAGATGGAAATCATTTAAATTTCCCAATAAAACTCTTAAAGAAGTCTATGCGTATGTGTCAGCTCTTGGATGCACCAAGCATGCAGTGGGGACATAGAAGTGGTTATCACTTCAGCTTGAACCGTTGCCTACAGACTCTGCATTCATATGCAGCTATCTGTCATCTATCAAACTCCACAGTTCTTTCTTTGCCATGATATATTTCAAAGATTATCTGAAGTCACTCTGAGGCTTCAGCAGTCTCTGTCAAATCAAGTAATTTTCTTCCAAAGTTAGTTTTAGTATCAGATTCCCCCTTTGCTTTTTCCTGGGCACTGTTTCTGTGCTGAGCTGTGGCAGGAGGACACAGTTTTTATAAAAAAGGTGCTACAAAACCAAAACATGATAAAAGAACCAAAATGGAAAATAGATAAATATATTAAACCATTCATTATATATAAGTCATTTTAGATGCAGTTAACGTATCAGCAAAATAAAAATGAAGAGACAGACATGTCCCTGAGTGGGTAAAGAAAATAAAACCAGTTTGGCCTACTTACATATGACATATAATTGATTATGTCAAAGGGTTATCAGTGACAGATGATTTGGATAGAAAAATCTGGGGTTAAACGAGCAGGGTTCACAAATCTAAAGATGTCTGATGTTAAATTGTATCTGGATCAGTAGTCCTCCAGTAGCAGGCCGGTGTAATGCCGACAAAGACATTTTACATTGTCATCACTTCTGTATGTAGACTGCAGAGCAGAGAGGGTGATTAGGTTACTAGAGATAGATGGTGGGTGATCACATTATCTGCAGTCTAAATTTCTGTACAACTCAGCAGCTCAGTCACTGCAGTACTGCTTTATTATCACAAGATGGAGGCAAAGACAACTCACCTGTAACAAGTGGAGTGTACTGAGACCATGTACTATACAATATTCCTACTGGACAGCAGAGACAGTTGCTGTTGGAACACTAGTTTTGCCCAGGTCACACTGTGCTTATTCAGACACAAACATTACAACAATATTTTCATTAAAAATAAAAGTTCATTCTAAAGAGGGTTAATGAATGTAAGACAGCATGTACAGTTGCAACAGTTTGGGCACCAAATTTTGTTTACTGCGAATAGGTAAGTAAGTACAAGATGAACTGATCTCCAAAGGGCATGAAGATGAAACATGCTTTTCAACATTTCAAGCAAGATTAGTGTATTATTTTTGTTTTGTACAATAGAGTGAAAAAATGAAAGGGGCACCATGCAAAAGTTTGGACTGACCAAGACATTTGAGCTCTCAGACAACTTTTACCAGGGTCTCAGACCTTAATTAGCTTGTTAGGACTATGGCTTGTTCACAGTCATTGTTAGGAAAGGCCAGGTGATGCAAATTTCAAAGCTTTATAAATATTCTGACTCCTGAAACCTTGTCCCAACAATCAGCAGCCATGGGCTCCTCTAAACAGCTGCCTAGCACTCTGAAAACTAAAATAATTGATGCCCACAAAGCAGGAGAAGACTATAAGAAGACAGCAAAGTGTTTCCAGGTCGCTGTTTCCTCAGTTCATACTGTAATTACGAAATGGTGGTTAACTGTGGAGGTCAAGTTGAAGTCTGGAAGACCAAGAGCACTTTATGAGAAAGCTGCTTGTAGGATTGCTAGAAAGAAGAGAGGATAGCTTCTACAACAGGACAATGATCCTAAACACACCTTGAAATCCACAATGGACTACCTCAAGATGAGCAAGCTAAAGGTTTGGCCATGGCCCTCACAGTCCCCTGACCTAAACATCATCAGAAATCTGTGGATAGACCTCAAAAGAGCAGTGCATGCAAGATGACCCAAGAATCTCACAGAACTAGAAGCCTTTTGCAGGAAGAATGGGTGAAAATCCCCCAAACAAGAACTGAAAGACTCTTAGCTGGATACAAAAAGCGTTTAGAAGCTGTGATACTTGCCAAAGGGGACGCTACTAAGTACTGATAATGTAAAAGATTGAAATTAAATGGTGATCTTGCTTGAAATGTTGAAGAAATGCGTCATCTTTAACTGCATGCTTTTGGAGATCAGTTCATCTTCTACTTACTTAACTACTCACAGTTACCCAAGTTTTGACCAGGGGAGCCCAAAGTTTTGCATGCCACTGTACCTGCAGCAGGGGGGCGAAGAGAAGCAAAGGGCTCCAGTTTCTGTACAAACTGCAGAAGTTACAGGCAGAACTGAAGATACTTAAAAACACCCGAGTGGTTCAGTTGGTAGAGCCTGTACTAAATAGGCTCTATTCTTGTTGCAGCTGCCCAGGTTGGAGCGTAGCTCATACACGTTGTTGAAAATGTTCTGTCCATTCTGCAGGAGGCCAGCAATGCTGAGGAAAGGCAACTACCAGGTCACCTCAATAAGGAATATTCTCAAGAAATGTCTGTGTTTGGTTTTTTTTTCAAACCTGTTGACCTCTTCCATAGAGGGGAGAGTAAGATGAGGAATGTTCAGCTCAGCCAGTTGAGGTTGTGGCCCGCCAGCAAAAAGTCACAAGGAGCAAGAGCTGCAAGTGTTATCTCTGTTGATTAAGTCGTTTTAAGTTTATGAAGGGTGAACATACCTAAACTACACTTGTCATATGTTTTCCTGAACCATACTTAAAGAGAGGAGGTCACTTCCTGTCTTATCGTCATGCGCCCTTTTATGTCATTTAGAATTTTTGAACAGATCATCAGTAAGTAAGGAAATGAAAACAAACAGTTCTCTTTAAAATATGCATTTATCACTTTCAAACAAGCCTTACAACATTTCAAACAAAGTGATCAGGTGTGCGTTGGTGTGTTGTTCCTGTGACACAGTAACAATCAGTTGTAATTTCTGAGCTGAATCCTTTACATGTTGCCATCTGTCATGTCTTGATCACATCTCAGTCTATACATCTGAATGTGGTATTCTGAGGTATCTGTTGTCTGTCTGCTGCTCTCAACTGACAAACACAACTAAAGCTCCTGAATCTGTTGTCAGGAAAATGAAGAGTTGACTGACTGCACCCTTATGTGTAACACTGATACTATATAATGCACTAATGCAGTATATATTTAAAATGCGGATCACTCTTGAGTCATAAAAGACAGATTCAATACTTGAGGTGGTACAGTACAGTATGAAAGTTGTTTGTCCTGGATTGAATGTCACCAGCTTTTCAAACATTTCCTGGAGTTGGTTGCTTTGGCTGAAATGCTCCAGAGCTTGTCAAAAGGAGTTTGCAATGATCTTTAAAGTCCAGATGAAATGGCATTTCAAGAGTATCTAGCCTCAGTATCATGATGTATTTCAAAGTGAAGTTGGATAGGCAGGTGGGATGTAATGCTGGGAGAAATTTGATTTGATCGTTGAAAGTGTAATGTTTTGTTCATACTGGCCGCAAATAAAACAATTTGCGAGAGTGAATTACATATAAAGTCAATGTAAAGATGTAAGTAGATGTGAATTTCCACTGGGCAGCACAATGGAAACAACATTAATGACTTGAATTAAGTGGCATAAATGAAGCGAGTAGCGCAATTTTGCGTCATATGCTTATTCGCAAAAGTTGAAAAATCTGAACTTCAACGACCAATTCATGCCGTGATAGCTAATCAGCATTGATATCCTCCAGGGATGTATGATGCCGAGGACGTACCAGTGGAAGCTCATTGATCGATTCCGTGATTTCACGCACCCATGACGTGAGTTATTCGTGCGTATGAAGTCATGAGTCAAAAGAAAATTTTCTAGCATTCAAAAATTTGCATCACGTTTGGTGTGAACACAACATAAGAGCCTGGATACACATGAAGGTGATCTTCATGCTGAATGTGGGCGGTGCCTCATGTGACGCAAATGGCAAGGTAGCTTGCTAGCTAAAGTTAACTAACTTGCTAATAAATACTGTGAAATATGATTTTATTGGTACATTTTCTATTTTTGGACATTGTGTGCCTGTCTCCTGAATCACTGCCAGCCAGACAGGATCAGATCAGTATTATAAAATAGAGTGCTGCGGATATCCTGAATCCTGGAAATGGATTAGCATTTTAGCACTCTCTGTTCCATAATGTTAAAGTCAGTGGGTTTTATGAATGGGTTTAAGGTTAGATGCCTGAAATAAAGTCTGTGGTAAACACTAGCTTAAGAGACTTTCACGTTTAATTCTACAACATAAAGTCGATCGTCATTCAAAGTTAACAAAAGTTGAACTCCAAACAGTGTGAAGATGCTAATTTGCTTTGCCACTGGAAAAAAACTGTTCTGTTTGCCCCTTCATTCACATCATGTATTTGCCAATACTGATTTTGCCATTGGATAGGAGTATTCATCAGAAAAAGAGAGACAAAGTCCATCATATGCTCCAAGTAACATTAGTAAATAAATTCTAGCATGAGGGCCACAGTATTTTGGGGAAACAAAGACACACCAACGTAGCATGCCGTCGCTAGCTAGCTAATGTAATCTTAGCACTGTGTGGCTAAAAGTTGCAGTGATTGACAGGGTTGCCAACTCTCACGCATCTGGTGTGACTGTCACTCTTTCACCATCAATGTCACGCTCTCAGGCCCATTTAAGAAATCTCACTCCACTGTCGCCGAGTCTTTTTTTTTTTTTTTTTTTAATGTCCAGCCCATTGTGTGGCTTGACTAGACCGCATAATATTCTCAGAAAGCAAGTTTAGGTCCCGTGGGGGCTACCCTGAACTTCATCGTCCTTCCCCGTCTCCTACAAATTTTGTTGTTTTTTTCTATAGACAGCATTCCGTGACCTAAGACAACAGAGCTATGGATGGATTGAATAACGCCGGAGTAGTGCTTTAAGTTCACTCATTGCCTTCTACAGCCATCTAATGGACAAACATGGGAACAGCATATCATTTTACATTAACTGGTTAATGCTGAGTTATGGCATGAACTTATTATATAGAATTGCATACCGTGCATACACTGGGTTGTTTCAAATGAACACTCCAGGTAATTAACTGCACATGTATGCCATGATCATTCCTGGCCATAAATTACATATTTTAGCAGAATAAATAAATGGCAGTTTACATTGGGTTTTCTTATTTAAACTTATTTGTAAGCCTAAGGCTTACATTTTTCTCCTGGGGCTCACAGATGCTAAACATTTAGCACATTTTATGATGGAGTCTCAAAAGGCCACATAAAACATGATAAATCAACAGGGTTCCCACGGGTCCTTGAAATCCTTTAAAGTTTGTGAATTAGAAAAAATCATTTCAAGCCCTGGAAAGTTTTTGAAAATATGCATACATGTACACAGGTCATCGAAAGTCCTTGAATTTATCTATTTCTGTATGAAACTGCATGAAAATAGGATTTCGCTGTGTGAACTTTAAACATTTTCTTGGGGGAGAACCCCCCTTGAAATCTTTCTTTTTCTCACAACAGGATATATTACTGGATTTTTTAAGCAGATGATCAAAACTACCATCAGATTGATGAAACTGACCTTGATCTGCGCCATAAAACAAATATTGAGCATCTATGCACGTATGTGGGGTTTAGGCCTATAGATATGAATATGTAAACGTACACTCATTTCTTCTTTCTTCCACGTCTTTTCATGACCACGCACACACAAGCAGATATTATGTCACAAGGTAAAATCTCATTCCGGCCCTCTGACCAAAGTTGGTAACCCTGGATTGATGATAGATGTTATGATATTTTATCTTGGAACCGGATGGTAATGGCTTATATAAGCACACATTTTGTTTTACAGGAGGAAAACCTGATTGGATTTAGAATACAAAGAACTAGATTTTTTGAATATGTACATATGGTATATTGTTGAATTGGTGCAGAATATGACTGGGGATATGATCTTAAATGGTTTTTAAAAAAAGCATTTTTCATTCCATTTCGACTTTAAGAGTAAATACACAAATTAGTGGACATAAGGGGCAAGTAGGCTCAGACAGTACATGCTGTGTACTAATATTATATACACTAATACCTCTTTGTACATACAGACGTCAGTTTAATCAACAGCAACACCAATCACAATCAAAGTCACAAAGCCAAGCCAATAGGTGTGTTCAGTCCAATGCCATTTGTCCAGCTTTGACAGACAGCTGTCCTTGTATTTGACACTTCACACTGATTTCCTCCTTTTGCCAAAGACGTTGTTGATGAGTTTGGCCATGGACTTGGAGCCGCTGGGGCGTCTCCTGCGCTCCTTGGCCTTGCTGCCCAAGCTGGCACTTTGCACCATCTTGAAGAATATGAGCGCCACCTCCTGGTGGTGCTCAGCAGCTGACAGCTCGTAGAACTGGCAGTGAAACTCAGAAGCCAGACACTGACCCTCTTCACGCCGCACTTCTCTCATGTGGCACAGGTCCTGTTTGTTGCCCACCAGGAATATGAGCGGGTCCGCGCTCCTGTAGGTCAAAAAGCAGTGCAATCACTCTAAAGCAGAACTCATACTTCTGCGTTAAATTGACGCTGTAGCCTGAAGTGCAACTCCCTAGAAATGTAAACACATCATGGCAATGCAGACCTCCTGGTTATTTTTGTAAGCTGAAACCATTTCCCTCAGTGGAAACAAATTAAAAACATACTTTTAATTCACAAATTAGAAACTGTGAAATTGTGAAATTGTGAAATTGTGAAGACAGTAAAGCCTTCACAAAAATAGCATTTTAAGTCTTGTGTGTAATTTATCCTTAAGGGATTTATACTTAGGGATTTATCCTGGCTTCAAATGAGCAGAGGAACTCTCTGCTAGTCATTAGCTAAATTACACAATGTACATAGGCTTGTGCTAATAACATTAGCATGTTGCATTTGTTAGAGAACATGTTTAGTATAGGACAGTTGTTTTGATGGTGAACCTTGTGAGTTGCAATGGAGCTGAATTGTGTAATGTTACCTTTGTTAAATGTTGCTGTTGTCCCTGGCTTCATATGAGTAGAGGAAATGTCTGCTAGCTGCTAAGCTAATTTATAAAATGTAAAAATGTAAAATGCCATAGGCTTGTACTAATAATATAAGCATGTTGTATTTATGGGGAAAATGTGTCCAGCAATAGTCAAGTGTTTGTTTGTGAATCCTGTGATTGCAATAAAGCCGATTTGTGTACTTGTGTTTGAAATTGTTGCTATTAATCCATGTTTAATGTGTGTTTTGGTTGTGTTTTCAATCATCTAAACTTTAGCACTTCAAAGAAACCCCACCACCAACTACTGGTTTGGAGGTGTAACTGCAGAGTGACACAGACACACCACCGCACAAGTATAAATGCTCACAAAGGCGTAGAATATGGTGTAGGCTCTGCATAGAGCTGATGCACAAATATGAATCCGCCTTAACACAGTGGCTATCACTGGCTCTGTTTACATGCACATAATGGTCATTATTATTTCACAGTGTCCATACCTTTTGGCAGGTCCCAGGTGGAGCTCTCTGATTAGGTGCATTATAGCTTTGGCAGTGAGGAAGGAGGAGCGGTCACTGATATCATAGACCACAACGAAACCATCAGCCCAGTGGATCTGGTCGTTTACAGTAGACTTGCCCTCACAGGCCTAACAAACACACAATTAATGACATTACATAAAACAAAAAGTATGTGCTCATACTGACATACATGTTATAGTAGCAGCATAGGGGGTGCAATTCTACACAATATACACAAACTTCATGAGGCAGTCAAAGCGAATGAAAGGCTGGAATACATAACACGTGTGACCATTAACAGCGGGGTTAGGGTTTGTGTTGGTGAGCTGATCCCAGGATAGCCCTGCTGTCCTTGTGCTCTAACTCAGAGTAATGGAGCTGAGACTAAACTCATGCTGGAGGCAGTGGTTCAGCTGAGGACAGCCGCATGCTCGACTGGCTCTGTGAACTAAGACGGATCTTACTGACGGGCCCTCGCTTTAAACTCATTGGGTCCCAATTTAATCACACAAGCACAACAAAAAGCACAGAGCAGGAGGTGTGTGTGCACTTCTACCTGCTATTTTAGTTCATGTGCTGCAGTGCAAAAGGGCTGTGTGGGGTGGAATAAAGACCAGTGGATCCCAAATGGTCCAGCCACAGGGTCCAGATTTCTCCTTAGTCATTAGCTCAAGGTCCACATACTTTAAAACATTCAGCGTCTTGCATTTGGCCATGTTGTTGAGCTAGTGTGCTGTCTATGTTAAGTAGCTGTCTGTTAGTCACTCACTCTACAGCAGGAAACCGCACTTCAAAATAAAAGCTCTCTGCCGGAAATTCTCTATACTGCAAAATAAAGTGTGGATCAAATCCTAATAGTGAAACGAGTCTTTTCTTGGAGACTGTGACGCACAAAACAATGTATCCACTGATTTACAGATGTCTTTTTCTCAATGTAAGTCTAAGGGAGAAAGTCTTTTTGGGCCCAATGGCATCACGTGACAGACCCGGTCGTTGTAATTTTACTTTTGGCCACTATGTAAAGCCTAGCGCTGTTCCTGTGGGCTTGGTTGGGACCTGGACTGGTTTGCCTATGAGTGACCTCAAGGGGGCCTACTGACTATAGATCGGAGGGTGTGGTGATAAATAAATATACTCTCGGCCAGTCACATCCCCGGTGTCATCACTCTTAAACACGGGGCATATATGATATGATGTAATATGACACAACTAAATATTTGTCAGTCTTTGTATAAACTGCCTTTTTTGTGTGACATGTGACATGACTTTATAAAAAGTAATGACTTTATAATGTATCCAGCTGAGGTTATATCTTCTTTATGTCATCTAACGAATTGGTGTGTTCACTGTGCAAAAAAGAGCAGCACTTCGACCACACTGCTGCTTGGCGACTGTGTGACCAGGGTTTATTTGTGATGCTCTCTGTGGTTACTGGGCTTTCTAATAGATACAAAATCTCAGTTAAAGCCGTAGTTTTTAACGTCTATAAAAATAAGTGTCTGGATAAAGTGACAGTTTGAGTAAATATGACGAAAAGGTATTTGTATAAAAGTTACCAACTACAGCTTATTAGTTGATGATAAGTGGCACAGGTGTGTGCTGTCCAGGAGTATTCCACTGTGCCACTTGCTTTTTCCAAAAAGATGCCATAATTATCATGATAACATCTTGTTATTCTTGCTTCATGTCTGTGTAAACTGACCTGAGAACATGGGTCATAGAGCTCAAGGTTCATCTGCTTCCCGTCCACAGACAGACGCTTTCTGTATATGCACTCTGTGGAGGAAACAGAGAAGAATAAATCAATCACGATGAGACTCATAATCTTCATCATTTTTTTTGCGTTGGTGCTCTGTGTACAGCTCCCTCCCATCTCCACCACCGCCACCACCAAAAATATGGATATTCGAATTTCAAATATCCATAATCAAAAAAAAAAAAAAAAAAAAAAGCAGACAGAAAAACAATACTGAGACTAATTTCTCTCCATAAGCGTGCACCTCTTCCTTTCATACCTTGCACAGTATCTTTTTTCATCACCTAAAAATGCAGGAAGAAAACAAGCTCAGATGAAACTAGATTATTCTCAGGGAAACAATAGCCTATTGAGTCACTATCAGAGACTAATGTGAGTCATTCTCCTCGCAGGTCAGGCAGCCTTTCAAAGGAGGCTGCAGAGTGTTATCATTACAGCACGGCTCTTCAAGAGAGCTTCAAAAACAACACTAAATGGATCAAAGATTTAACCCATGCTCTTAATATTAAGTTACATACACGTGACAGAAGCTGCACCACCCGTAGTTTAAATCTTGGCAGCTGGCTTCACCGTGCAAAGTACATATGAAAGAACTAAGAGAGTATACAAGAGGATGAGATAAGAGGACTTGGATAGAGTGCAAAGGAGCTACACAAACAGTGTACAGAAACTGAAAGGCAGCCAACTGAAAACTGACATAGTCGTGAATGTTAGGCTTTATACAGGACAGGGATATAAACAGACATAATGATAAACATATGCAGGGTTACAAGGATGGATGCAGAATATCACAATAACATGTAAGTTTGTCATCATCAAAAGGTAGTTAAAAATGGCTGTGCAAAAATACAAAAAACAAAGTTTCAGTTGTCTTTTGATATCTTACTTTAAGGAATAAATTCTGCAAAAACATAAGGTTTAAGAAGGTATGAGAAAACAGTACTATGAAAATTTGATATTTAAGTACAGATTTGGACATTTGGTGCTGCAGGCACATTTGGCTGGGTTTTGAAATACAACACCCAGCCCTACTTAAAGGGGAACTTCTGTATTTTTCAACATGGACCATTATTTTCTCATGTTTTTCTGCCTCGTGGGAATAACAATCTTTGAAACTGGTCCAGTAATGAGAGAGAGCGCTGTAGCCGGCAACAGCAAAACAGGCTGCAAAGTCACCACTCTAATGTCTAGTAAAGGTTTTTGCCACTAACAGGCTAACATTGTTATGTTAAGCATCTTACAACATTAGGGAGAGAATCCCTTTGTTTTATCGTACCCTTCACTTGTTCTGCTCAGTTTGTGTCCAAGTCTCTCTAACGAGAAGTCTCATTCTGCAGTCTTGCAGACTTTTTTACACTGACGCAACTGGCAAAATATTCAGCCAAATCTGAAGAAATTCCCTCAGGGTTTCCTTGAGATATAACATTCACAAGAATGAGACAGATGAGGTCACAGTGACGTTGACCTATACAATCAGCACAATTTCAAGGTGGGCACCCGAGATGAGTGTCACCAATTCAGTATCTGACCAAATGTCTCCTCTTCTATTACTGAGATATGACACTGAATAGGTGTTTTATGCAGACCTTTATAATGTCACAGTGAAGTTGACATTTGACCTTTTGGATATAAAATGTCACCTCTTCATAATTTTAGTTGTTTTGTCATAGTTTTGTCATTAGCATATGAATTCTTGAATTATGGTCAAAAACATATTTTGTAAGGTCATACTGACCTTGACCTTTGACCTCTGACCACAACATTCTTATCAGTTCATTGTTGCATCCAAATGGACTTTTGTGCCAAATTTAAAGAAATTCCCGTAACATGTTCTTGAGATATAACATTCGCAAGAATGAGACAAACAAAGGTCACAGTGATCTTGACCTTAAACTATCACATTCTAATCAGTTCATCCTTGACTCAAAGTCTACGTTTGTGCCTAATTTGAAGGAATTCCCTCAAGGTGTTCTTGAGATATCATATTCATGAGAATGAGACAGATGCAAGGTCATGGTAACCTTGACCTTTGACCACCAAAATCTAGTAAGTTCATCAATAAGTCCAAGCGGACATTTGAGCCAGATATTCCACAAGGCATTCTTAAGATCATGGTCACAAGAATGGGAACACAAAATCATGCAAAGGTATAAAAAAATACCATAGGTCCCCTTTAATAAAATTAAAATGTAAAAATACAGAACAATACATACTCAAATGCCGTTATGGGACATTTAGTTGCAGATCAGTTGGTGAGCCTGGCAATGAGTTAGAATGTATGTAAAGGTAAAATGACATAAAGGTGTGGTATAGTACAAAAGTGATGTTTAAAGAGGCTACATCATCTGTTGACAGGGATACATTAAAAACACTGTGTGTCTGTGCACATGCTGCCTCACTGAACGTCATTTAAATTCTAGTGGAGATGTAAAGTAAAACATTTAATGTAAACATCACACTGCATGCGTCACTGAAAAGATTCCATGAGTCAGATGTAAACTATTTTGCAGGTTTACAGATTTAGGAGTTACATCATTTGTAGGATACATAAAGGTGAACTTCAGTCAAAGGAATCATCAACACAAGGCAGGATTTAACAGTGAAAGTTGGCGCACCTATTTGTAGATAGAGAGGCAGATGTATATATTTATGATTACAGTGCAAACAATATGGAATAGATTATTACCTGAAGAGGACGCGTACTCGCCGATAAAGCGCCTGGTGAGGAACCGGACGATGAGAGCTGCAGACAGACAGACAGACAGACAGACAGACAGGTGAGCTCGATCTTAAGCGATAACTTGTTTATCAGACATACAGAGACCTGCTCCACAGCTGCTCTCTTACCTGATTTTCCGACCCCTTCACTGCCCAGCACAGCGATCTTGATCTCATTCATGTTCGCTGTGGAGACAGAACTATCCGGTGCAGAATGGTCCCTCAGATATCATACTGTGGAGAGCAGAGGAGTGAAGAGCAGGGTGAGAGACGGGAGCTGATGGGCTGACGGAGCCACCGGTGCCGCCTCGCGTCATCTGCTGGCTGCCCGGTGGGCGGGGCTTTGACAGCGGTAGAGCAGGGGACGTTTCTCTCACTTATCCATCCTGGAAGCATAATATAACCTCATTAGTTTTTACATCTTAAGATATATA